TTTGATGATTTTGACTAATTGATTTTGATTTATATGCAGATTCATTCTAATATGTGCTTTTGGAATCACAGGCTTATATTAGGAAGATAGGAAGGAAGTGAGTAAGCAACAGGTCTTGCAATGCATTCTCTCCCATTTCTGGAGGACACTAAGTAAGAAGGTAGCCTCTCAAATCTCCCTGTAAACGTGCTAACATTAGACCTCCAGGCAAACAATCGAAAGATATTTGCCAGAGGAAGGATCTTTCTATGGATTTCTTCTAAGGGGATGCACCTAGTTGTCTAGGATTGCCTACTCTATGCCAGCCTAGAGCCTGCACATTTATGGGGCATGATTCCCTAAGCTACATAACTGTACGAGTATACATGGAGTTGCTGCATGACCTAAATGCCTTCCTTGTGTAAATTATTTGACTACAAACGTCACATAGAGACGTTACATCCTCATCTGAGATGGAGCAATGTGGCCAGAAAGGACAGGAGAGCTCCATCAGAGATGCTGGGTTTCTCCTTGCTCCACTTGTGCTTCTTAATTATTATATCCCTGAAGTAATTAGTAATTCTTGATTTGGGGCAAGATTTCTGACTTTTTGGTATATGACTACCCAACCCTTGGAGTTAGGTCAGATTGGCAGTGGGCGGGATTGTCTCTGAGACCCACAAATCATAATGGCTAACACAATTTTTGGCAAGAAGAAAGGATGGATGTAAAACTATGATGAAACTTGATACCAGGACAGCTGCCTCCCAAGCTTTGGAATGGAGTAGGAAAAGCTTCGAGGCAGATTCCTGGGGACAAATCTCACCTAAGGCATTTGGAGAAAATAGAGCTGAATGAAAGAGAGGGAGGGAGCGAGAGAGAAGTTTAAAGAAAATATGTGCAAAGTGGGGAACTCATTTGCGTGTCTCTGGTGTTAATGATCAGGATTTGTTGTGTTTAGCAGTTGTGGGATGTGCCGAGTTTTGGGTCAATGAGACGAGAAGCAAGGGGGCTGCATCGCGAACAATCACACGGAAAGGTGCAGTTCTAACTAGGCCAAAGGTTAGGTTGGATACCAGTTTCAGACAACTTATGTCAGACCTAAAAATGGATGCTGAGGCAGCAGCTATGTTAAACAAATTTACAACAGACCTGGACGTCCTGACAGACTTAGCTAAGGCCTTCTTTTCAGTCCCAGTATTGGTTGTTCAGCCAGGTGATATTTGCAAGCAGCATAAACAGACTGGAGTCTTTGGCAGAAATCGAATAAGACTGCCCATGGAGACCACTGGGTTTCACACTCAAAAGCACCTGAGGCATCTGGCCCTTGTAGCCCATTTGAAAGACAATTTCTAGCTTGGTTATTGGACACTGTGGAAACATTCTTCACTGCTGAAGGACGTCAGAGAATCTGAGGCCAGAAATACTTACCATGTCTTGGCAGGTATTGGAAAGGCATTTGAGTAGCGGTAGAGGAGCGTTGCAAAGCTCACACATGTAGTGAAGTGGTGTCATCAGCAGCACAGGTGGGGAAAGCTTAGGTGGGAGGATGGAGCCCACCACAAACAAAACCAGTTTGCTCTCCTGCGCAAAAATAGAAGCTTCTATTTTCATCCCAAACTGTTGCTCTATGGCCTATCCCTTATGATTCCTTGCAGCTGAAGCAAAGCAGGCTCCCTGGTTCACTGGTGGGAGTTCTCAGAGTGAGAATCACATTGCTCTTGGGAAAGAGGCATCATGATGCCCTGCTGGTGGGAAGACCTTGGTGGAAGGTGGCCAGGGGGTTCTGCACAGTGGACAGGGCTGAGAACTGCTGGTGGAAGGCACTGTGGGCTCTGACTGCCAGGAGAGTGATTGGATATTCATGGAGTCTTGGGCTGTAGCCGATGGCCTTGCTTTAAGGCAGGTAATTGGGTCTAGAGGACATAATGAGTCACTAATGATTCCTCCTTATGAGCACTGTGTTATGGAAGGAAATTCCTGTGGAGATCGAGCAATTTACAGTGGGTCCAGGAGATGGAAACTGTAGCAGATGGTTTGGTCAGATTCCTAAAGCTCACTACCTGGATTCATGAAATAAGCAGAGAACTTATGTACTCGGGCCATCCACTGATGGGCAGAGAGGCAACAATTCCTTTTGCTCCTATGAAGGCACTAATGTGATAAGAAAGGGTACCCAGTGTGGATTAGAGGAAATTGCTTGAAAATGGAGATGGATCAAATTCCCCCAAGGATAAGGGCTGTTGCATACCCAGGAAGTAGATGATAATGTGTCTTTAAAAAAGAAATTAATTGGCCGGGCGC